TATATCATTAGGGAATTCAGAAACATAAAAATGGGTTGTTTCTTAAACAATTCTAAGGAGAAAAATAGCATTTGGGTTTCAGATGACCTATGAACAGGAGCATATCCTTATTGCTAACTACAAGCCATTTTTAATCTAGTTGCATGGATTATGTCCTTACCTCCGGTCTGCAGTCTTCTAAATCCCTTCTGTGCTAATGCCAAGTTATCGGGGCAGCCTCGGGGATCTGCATTTTGATTCCTGTGGACTTTGGGAAAGACAGAGCTACCAGCCTGGGGTGCTTTCTTTGAAAAGGAAGCAATACAAGTTAAGCATTGTCACCTGAAAATCTGAAATCCAAAATCCAGAGCTTTCTGAGCCCCAACAAGACACTGAAACCGTGGATGCGGATTTATGGATTAGGGATGCTCAAAACGGTCTCCGAAAAGCTCTGAAATCTGAAATACTTCTGATCCCAAGCATTTTGGATGAGGGATACTCAGCCTGTAACAGTTTTGCCTCCACATGTTTCTCCAGCACCTCACTTCCGGAAGTCACATAAACCGTATTTATGCTCCATCAAGAGGAAAACAGATGTGAAGGAAAGAGAAAGGGCTAACTTAGAGAAGCTCACCAGTCAGCTCTTGCAGGGCTTCATTTGTGTAATTTTAACTGGGTCGTGGGCGCTGGGATTTAGAGGAACGAAACCTGCCAGGTGCTATCAGCCAACAGCATGTTACATTGAGTTTCAGTGTTTCTGGAATGGGAAAAAGCTGTCCTGAGGGAAACAGGAAGCAGGATATGATTGTCAGTGGCTGTGTGGTCTGCAGATGGCTTGTGTCATACAGTGCGTTGTTGCTATGAAAAGTTCACTGCTGTGGGGGATTAGGGGTAAATACATGGTCCTGTTGTCCTGACTAGGAAAACAGCTTAAGGCACAGAATTACAGAATTTTAATATTTCGTAAGCCACACTTACTTAGTTCTTCCTTAATTTCCATTTCCATTGTACTTGGTATTGATATTTCTTAACTATCTCACATGAGAATTCTAATATTTGCTTAGTATTCAAAATATCTTTACAGTTATCTGCTACCAATAATTAAGTGGAATGCATTTTCACAAAATCTCAATTGTGATGATTTTTTAAAGTGACAGATCTTTGAAATAGAGGCTGAGGAAGCTATTGGAGGCACCTAGAAGTAGTAATAATCATTCGTGTTTAGTCCCCTTACGGGTTTGCATTTCTTTTTTAAGAACTGAAATGCTGTTTTGAAATCCTTTCTACATCTACAGTACAATGTTTTCCTCCATTTTTTAAAAAATGATTTATTTACTTATTTGAAAGGCAGAATTACAGAGAGGCTGAGGGAGAGAGAGATCTTCCGTCTGCTCGTTCACTCCCCAGATGGCTGCAACACTGGGCTGATCTGAATCCAGGAGCCAGGAGCTTCTTCCAGGTCTTCCTCCAGGTCTTCCTCGTAGGTCCAGGGGCCTAAGTTCTTGGACCATCTTCCACTGCTTTCCCAAGCCATAGCAGGGAGCTGGATTGGAAGTGGAGCAGACGAACTAGAACCAGTGCCCATATGGGATGCTAGCACCGCAGGCGGTGGTTTTACTGCTATGCCACAGCGCCGGCCCCCATGTTTTACATTAATGGATAGAAATAGCATAGTGAGGGACCAACGTTGTAGCATAGCAGGTTAAGTGCACCAGCATCCCATATGGGCATTGGTTTGAGTCCTGGCTGCTCCACTTCCAATCCAGCTCCCTGCTAATGTGCCTGGGAAAACAGTGCTTGGGTCCTTGCACCCATGAGGCTCCTGGCTCCTGGCTTTAGCCTGGCCCAGCCCTGGCTGTTGCCAAAATGTAAGGGAGTGAACCAGTGAATGAAAGACTTCTGTCTCTTTCTCTTCTTCTCTCTCTAATTCTGCCTTTCAAATAAATAAAATCTTAAAAAAAAAAAGGTGAATAAGAATTGGGTTGATTTTAAAGATTTTATTTATTTGAAAGAGTTACACAGAAGTTGAGACAGAGAGAGAAGTCTTCCATCCACCAGTTCACTCCCCAAATGGCCGCAATGGCTGGAGCTGAGCCTATCCAGAGCTAAGAGCTTCTTCTGGGTCTCCCACGTGGGTGCAGGGCCCCAAGAACTTGGACCGTCCTCTGCTGCTTTCCCAGGCGCATTAGCAGAGAGCTGGATCGGAAATGGAGCAGCTGGGATGTGAACTGGTGCCAATATGAGATGCTGGCGCTGCAGGCTGGGGCTTTAACCTGCTGTACCACAGTGCCAGCCCCAAAGGTTTTTTTGTTTTGTCTTAAGATTCCTCTTATTTTATTTGAAAGGCAAAGGGACAGGGAGAGACAGAAATTATCCTGTGTCAACTGGTTCACTTCCCAGGTGACTGCAATGGCTGGGGCCAGGCCAAGTCACAGGCAGGAGCTCAGAACTCCCATCTGGGTGTCCCCTGTGGATGGCAGGGGTTTGAGTGAGTACTTGAGCCATCTTCTGCCTTCCCAGGCACAAGCAGGAAGCTGGGATTGGAAGTGAAGCACTGGGACCGGAACCAGTGCTCTGATATGGGATGTCAGCACAGCTTAATCACTGCACCACCACATCAGCCCCTGACCTTAAAATTGACCTCCCCTTGCAGCTGGCTGTAGCAAACTGGGAATCCAGACTTAGCATTAGGTCTGGTGTGCTGTTGGTTTCTAAAAAGGTTTTAAATGAATGAACAAAAATAACTTTAGGATAAATGACATTTTCTTAAAAATGAAGGATACATATTTGAGCATTTTATTTTATATTTTATTGCACAGTGGCAGGTGAATGTTCAAGCTGAGAGAAGTTAACAAATGAGGGAGTTTGGATTTGCACTTCAGTTTCAATAAATGATGGGAGAATCTTTGCATAGACTAAGCAGGCAGAGCATAGAAATATTTCTGAAGGTACTGAGAAGTTTCTTAGGTGTGCTTTGTTACTGCGTCTATCACACTTATGTAAAAGTCATAAAGAAGATTTAACATTGCTATACTTACAGTAATTGAAGTTAGGGTTTTTTTATCCTCCCAATTCATAAATGAGTGAAGAATAGTATTTTTCTCAGTCCCATAGAGTGGTTCAAATGTTGCTCTCCCTCTTCCCATCTCTAAATACTTACTTAGGGTGTATGTGTCCAATTCACTTTTACAAAAACTATATGATTTTTGTGGAATTACATAATCCCAGTATGAACATTGAGGAAAAGATTGTATTCTTGTGCCTTAGCAAAAGGCCCTATACAGAATTAAGCATTTTTAAAGAAGATGCTAGGAGATGGTGCTGTGGTATAGCAGGTAAAGCCGCCGCCTGCAGTGCCAGCATCCCATATGGGCGCTGGTTTGGGTCCTGGCTACTCCACTTCTGCTCCAGCTCTCTGCTATGGCCTGGGAAAGCAGTAGAGGATGGCCCAAGTTCTTGGGCCCCTGCACCCATGTGGGAGACCTGGAGGAGGCTCTTGGCTCCTGGCTTCAGATCAGCTCAGCTCTGGCCATTGCGGCCATCTGAGGAGTGAACCAACAGATGGAAGACCTCTCTCTCTGTTCTGCCTCTCTCTGTAACTGTCTTTCAAATAATAAAATAAATTTTAAAAGAAGAAACAGCAGTAGGTGTGTAGCCTAGTGATTAAAATGCCCACATCTCACATGAGCGTGCCTGGGTTCAGTTCCTGGCTCCAGCTTCCTTCCAGTGCAGACTCTGTAGGTAGTGGCGATAGCTCAAGTAATTGGGTTCTTGCTGCCCATGTGGAGACCTGAACTGAGTTCCTGGCTCCCCACTTTGACCCCGACCCAGCCTCTGTCATGGGCATTTGTGGAGTGAACCAGAAGATAGGAGCTCTCCCTCCTAACTGTGGGAAGTGCAGGCAAAGACAGGAAGCAGCCCTAGCAAGGACTTGCTTTTAGAGAGTAGGACCTTGGGAAGCTACTTGCAATTACGTACTGAAGTTCAAGATGTGACATCTCTAAGGGCCAAAGAATTTCCCTTGTAGGTTTGTTCCCCAAAGGAGTCCTTGCATGTGGCTGGCCTGAGATCTGTATGGGAATGTCCATAGTAGCACTGCGATTGTCGTGGTAAAATGGGAGAAGGGGCAGTGCACATGTTTAAGGCACCAGAAGAGACTCATTGTGGTATGGCCCTGCAACAGAATACTGCATAGCAGTGAAAACAAATGACCTACAGTGGCAAGGAAGACTCGGGACCAAAATCTAAGCCAAACAAGCAAGTCACAGGGGCCGGCATTGCGTCACAGATTAGGCTGCTGCTTACAGCACCGGCATCCTGTATCAAAGTGCTCATTCAAGTCCTGGCTACTCTGCTGCTGACCCAGCTTCTTGCCAGTGTGCCTGGGATGGCAGTGCGAGATATCCCAAGTATTCTGGCCCTTGCCACGCACATGGGAAACCCAGGCTCTTTGCTTCTGCCTGGCTCTTGTGGCCATTTGGGGAGTGAACCAGCAAATGGGAAATTTCCCTCTGTCACTTTGCCTTTCAAATAAATAAATCTTTCTTGAAAAATAGCAGACTATAAAATACATACAATATGGTTGCATATTTAGAGATACAAGTAAGTGTTGTAAAACTATAAAGAAATAAACAGTGCAAAACTTCAGAAATGGTTAATTTGAAGGAGCAAAGGAATGTGATGGAGAGGAGAGAATTCTGGTCCCCTGGGGGCTTCACAGCCACAGTCCCGTTCCTGTTCTGTCAGTGGGCATGTTTTATCTCTGTTTTTAATGACTTACACTTACTTTATGACCCTTGGCTGTATGATACTTCATACAGTTGATTATATTTAAGTGTAACTTGCAGAAGTAAGCCTGTGAACAAGAGGACACCTGTTCTTGCATACCTGTAAGAAAAGTCTGTTGCTTTTTGATGCAGTACCCTGGTCCTTGGGTTTGATGATGTGAATTTCCTTTTGTTAAAGGTTTTTCTTTTCGTTTTTCCCCCATTCTGTCTGCCCTGCTGCTCCTCCATCTGCAGGAGAGATTCGAGGCACTTTTCACCATCTACGATGACCAAGTCACATTTCAGCTGTTCAAAAGCTTTAGAAGAGTCAGGATAAACTTCAGCAAGCCCGAAGCGGCGGCAAGAGCACGAATAGAACTCCACGAGACCGACTTCGGCGGGAGGAAGCTGAAGCTGTACTTTGCACAGGTGCTGCCCGGGACGCCTGCCCTGCACTGGTTTCTCCCCATCCCCACTTCCAGGTCTCTCCTGTTGCTGCCTCTGAGACTCCTGAAAGAGTTCCAGTCAGCGGGGATGTGAACGCGCGTCCCCCGCCTTTACAGGTGTATGTATAGTGTTGGTTATTGGTTAGGCATGTTTGCCCTCCGGACTTTGTTTTGCTGAGACTAAGGGTGAAAGGGTGGCAGCTGTGTGTTGCTGAGGCTCTGGGAGGGTTGAGCCCAACCCCCTCGAGCGTCCTGCGCATGTAAAGTGGCTCTCAAGAGCGAGCGTCCTCGGGAGACTCGGGGACATAGTCTCAAGTCAGTTTCCGTGCTCTTCAGTTCCCACGAAGAACCCCCAGGGGAAAGTGCTGGGCCGAGGATGGCCAGGGGGAGCCCAGGGCTGCAGGAAAAGGCAGAGAGTCCACGGGTTAGCAAGAGTGGGCTCTGCCTGTGCTTCTGATGCTGCAGTGCTGTGGCCTTCGAGAAGCCAGTTTCTTCTTAGAGGAACTGGTGAAGTAAAGGCATCAGAGCTGCACTTAGAAACTAAGTGCCGTCTTTTATTGGCAAAAAAAGTTTTTTCTTGGTTTTAGCTTTCAAATTAGAGAGGCGTTTGTTGCCTTACATTCTAAACGTGTTCGACGTTCCTTGTTGGAGTCTCTTGTGGTTAGACCGCAGAGTAAGATGACGTGGCCCTGTCTCTCCTCCCACTGGGGCTTGCAGTTACCACCTCTCATTCACCTCTGCATCCGTCTGTTTCTTTATTCAGCTCCTGGTCATTGAGCGCTTGGTACGAGTTCAGTGTGAGCACACAAACCCAGTCTTCCCTTCTTGCAGTTCATAGCTATTTTAAGAGATCTGTAAAATTCCTCCAGTAGGATGGAAGACTTACATGGGAATGAAGAAGGGCAGTGCGGCTTGCAGGCTGGTTTTGAGACTCTCTTCCGGCAGGTGCAGGTGTCCGGTGAAGCGCGGCACAAGTCGTACTTGCTGCCGCCCCAGCCTGCCAAGCAGTTTCTCATCTCCCCGCCAGCGTCGCCCCCAGTGGGCTGGAAGCAGAGTGAGGATGCAGTGCCTGTTATAAATTACGATCTACTCTGCGCTGTTTCCAAGCTGGGGCCAGGTAACACACTTCTGTTTCCTGTTTTAGTCCCAAGAAACTCGTATTGAAGACTGAGCCTGTTCTAGCCAGCCAGGGCCTCATGACCCAAGGATGAGGTCACACAAGCCTGGCTTTGCCTCCGCGCTGGGGCGTGTGCCAGCTGCGTGGCCCTCGGCGAGCTGCTCGGCCTCCGTTTCCCGAGCTCACCTTCATCTCTGCAGCAGGGATCGTCATGGTCTCTCCTGTTTACTGGGGTTGTAAGGATGAGTGCTGAGTGCCTGGACTCGGTGCACGCCACTGCAGTCCTCACTGCTCCGAGTTCTCCCGGGCCCTAACCGGCAGGCCGTGCGCCTTCGTTGCCTTCTTCCCCCGCCCCATCGAGTCCCAGACAGACCACAGCTACTTTGAGTCCTGCAGGGAACTGCTGGTGGTTTCCCGTCATCCTCTCCTGGTTTTTGTCTTTACTTTTATTTTCCATGGCTGCTTCCCCTCTGCCCCTCTGATCCCTGTAAATACTGTAGGAAGCTGATGCCACGCTGGTGCCTCCTACAGGGGCCCAACAGCATTGAGAGGGGAAGTGTCAGAGCTGCATCTCAGATGCACAGGGTCCTCTGCTGAGATCCCCCTGATGCCTGGATCCTTCCAGGTGTCTCCCAAAGGAAAGCTGACCAGAATGAAGTTAAGCAGATTCAGCTGTGTGCTTCAAGGACCTGTGACTGCCATTCACGTTTTAATTCCCTGGACCTCGGTACTGAAAATGGAAAATTTTACAAGAACCTTAAAGCACTGAGTCACAAATAACAAAGGATAAAGTACTTTGTCATAGCATTTAAAAATTTTAAAAGACATAATCAGCAGTTAAAAATGAGCAGAATAAGAGGTTTCCAAGAGAAAACGGGTCTTGTTGCTGGAAGGGAGGCTTTGGTCACAACACTCATTTTGTTTCCCCCACAGGAGAGAAGTATGAACTGCACGCGGGAACCGAGTCGACACCCAGTGTGGTGGTTCACGTCTGTGAAAGTGAAACTGAGGAGGAAGAGGAGACAAAAAACCCCAAGCAGAAAATCACCCAGACCAGGCGCCCTGAGCCTCCAACCACGGCACTGAACGAGCCCCTGACCTTCGATTGCGCGCTGTGAGGTCCGTGGTGTGGGAGGCAGCTGCCCTCCCGGGCCGCACTCATGGGGACCCGGCCTTCCGCTGATGGCCTAGGTAGGGCAGTGGAGAACCAGACGCAGCCACGGTGGTGTAGGGCAGCAGCTGGTTCACCTGCTCACGGTGGTGAGGGTGTTCTCAGTGGCGCTATGCAGAAAAGCATTGCCGTCCGCCCGGAAGTGGTGAGTGATGGCAGGTTAGGAGAATGCCCCTCCCCACTCGCCCTCATCCCTAGAGCTGGGATACGAAAGACGGGCACGGCGTCATCCAGTGCAGTACCGTCTTTATGAACTTCAAAACTCTTGAAATTTTAATAACCTAGTGTGGGTATTTTTGTATACCAGCTCCTAGCTAATATATTGAGCAAAAAGTAATTGTTTGGTATTCATGAGATTTTCTTCATGGAAAAAAACCTGAAATGCAAAATTATCTGTAGAAATCCTTTTTCTCAAGAAATTTCTCCAGTAGCTTTGGGAAGAAATGCCAAATCCACTCAGATGGTGAGAACCAAGTGGCCCTCGAGCCCATGGTGTACAGGCCACTGTTCCTTATGAGTTGTTCCACCTGAGCTTGGCTGCCCCAAAAGAGCCGCCACTTGGCACGTGGGCCGGCCCCCAGCAGACGAGGCCGCTGTGGTTTCAGACGGCTGCCGCACCCGCCACGCGTGTCTGTGTCTGGCCTGTAGCACACCGCGCTGTCTTCACTCAGCAGCTTCCTGCCCTGTGGCTTTCCCCAGTGTCGTGTTAACCACGGGTCTGTGTGTTTGTTTCTGTTCTGTACGTACATTTCTGTGTGTTATCTGTAGATTTTCAGTGAGAAAAGGTAGTAAGATTATCTGAAGACCATGTATAAATTACCCACTGAAACATCTTCCAGCTTGCTTTGGAAGGAAAGTCACGGGTACTGTTCTTCTGTGGATCGGGAAAGGGAAGAGAGCACTTACTCACACTTCCCTTAGTGATGGCATTTGTCACTCGGGCTTCTTTACCATGGGCATTTCTCCTAAAATACAGCTGGCTCTCACTTATGTGGCAGAATTGACCCTTATAATGTTGACGCAGCATCCTTTTAACTTTTGTGGTCTCTTCAGGCTTTGGAGAGCCTTCTGTCGAAATGGCTGGTCTGTGGGGCAGGTGTCCACGGTGACCCAGTGTTGCTGCCATCACAGAGAAAATGCAGAAGTTCCAGCCTGGTATCTTTATATATTTTGATAACATGTTGCTGTGGTTTAGTTCTTCTCAGAGTAGAATTTATTGCTGAAGGCATTACATTATATACACATAATACAGTTTTCAGTATTTTCCTTGCCCTCTGATACTCTGAGGTAAGAACTCTTTATTGGTATAGGTCCACCACTGCTAAACTTCAATGTAAATTCAGCTAGAATTTGTAATTCCATACAAAATTAATATATTGAAATCGGACCATTTGTCAGTTTAACTGGTGGCCACTTAATAAATTTATTTTGCAGTCCTGAGCTCAGCATTTTGCTCATTTTTGATTGCAGGGTGGTCCCTGTCTTCCAGGAGATATATGCATTTTCACCACTTGGGACATTTAAAATTTCTTCTTAGGTGATATTATTCATTACTATTTTCTAAGTGTTCAAAACCCATGCTTCATTTGGGTTGGCTTTCACTCTGCCTGCTGATTAAAGAATATTCTGTCCCTTGGAAGATATCTGTCTCTGCGCCTCTCACACTGCCTTTCAAATAAATAAGTGAGTAGAATAAATCTTTTTTAAAAGTTTTACATGTTAGGGATAGAATACTCTTTTTTTTAAACTGAAGCAGTTCAAAGTACCTAATGTTTTTCTGTTCTTTTTTGAGAGTATTGAATGAATCAAAAGTTTAAAACAAAATTTAATATATATTAAAGAGAGTGTGTCATATAAACTCTTCTGAGTGGGGAACATTAATGTTTCCTTTCTTGCTAGTATATTTCTAGAAGGTGAATTCTAAAAGAAAAACAATTAAATGCCAGTCAACTCCTTCAGTGTTGTGAAATCAGCCAGGATCAACACTCATTGTGGTCTCTGTACTTCTGTGGCTGTTTCTTACCCAATGTATGCAACCATTGTGCAGGAGATGAGCCTCATGGGTTTTTTTTTTAAGTTACTTTAATTTTTTTTTTAAGATTTATTTATTTACTTGAAAGAATTACAGAGAGGCAAAGGCACAGAGAGAGAGAGAGAGAGAGAGTCTTCTGTCTGCTGGTTCACTCCCCAGATGGCCACAACAGCCAGAGTTGAGCCAGTCTGAAGCCAGGAGCTTCTTCTGGGTCTCCCATGTGGGCACATGGGTGTAGGGGCCCAGGACTGCTTTCCCAGGCCATAGCAGAGAGCTAGATCAGAAGTGGAGCAGCTGGGACTGCAGGCGACTTTACCTGCTATGCCACAGCACGGCCCCAAGTTGTTTTAATGTTTATCTCCATTTTTTTCTTTGAAATTTAGTTCCTAGATTTAACTGACAAATACAAGAGTACTTAAAAAATTTAATGGAAAATAGAATTAAAAGATATTTGATGCAAAAAAATTTGAAATCTATATATAGATGTCTTCAGAGTTCGTGGAAAATGCATATTATGAAAAACTATGAATTTCAGAAAAGTTTTGCACCAAAATAAAATACTGTTTTAATTCCATGAACTCTTTGAAGTACGCTTTTAGCTCCATTTTCTTTAGAAATGATAACCTCTTCATGGGAGTTAAATTATGTAGAAAACTGTGAGGAAAGATAATGGTGATGGAAGACAATGACTTTGTGAGAGAAAAGGTCAGGAATGAAGGGTTGAGGAACTGGACGCTTAACAGGGATTGGCCGCAGAATCTGTGATGTGCTCCCTGGTGACACTGGTGGCAAACCCGCCTGAAAAGGGTGCTGGTGAGCATGTCCTGGGCTCAAGGTGCTGGGAGGCAGAAACGGGCAAGAACAGTTCCCTCGCCGTGGGAGCTTGAGGACCCACAGAGCTGATTTCACACACAAAACCCCGGCAGCGGTTCAGAGCCAAGTCAAAATGCAAGTTGAAGTTCAGTGTGCAGGTTTGAACAGAACGCTGCAGGTGTTTATAAACTGTTGGAATTGAAGAGACACCAGAGGGTTTCCGCCTTTTAAAACGGTCATCACTCTTAGGTGGGATTTGATTCTCCTGGAATCTGAGGCGGCTGAGATGCCTGCAGAGGTCACAGCGCATGATGTTGCACTCGTCCAGGAGTTACAGGGCGGGCTGAGGGGGCGGCAGTGGGACCTGCCGAGGCTGCCCAGCGGCAAGAGTTGGCTGTCTCGACCCCTGCACAGGAGCTGCTGTTTTTTTTCTCGTGTTGGCCTCTGAAGGAGGTGATGAATTCTAATCCCTGGCATCAGGGAAACAAAGATGAGCCTGGGGATTGTTTTCTCCTGAGGATGACCAAGACACCAGTGAGAACATCCTGTCTGGTGACGGTGTTGACTTAGTGATTTTCTTAATGAAGCTGATATTCCCTGTTTTCTGTTATCACTGAACTGTTGGGGCCACAATCTGCTTACATAATGTTATCTTGGTAGCCAGCAATTGGTTGCCATTTTAATATAGACTTTTCTAGATTTCCATACTAGTGAAATTAAAATGTAATCGCACTTAAGAGGTGACTCTGATGAAGCAGAATGAGATCTGTGGGACTCAGAAATAAAGACTTGTGGAGAAAGGACACCGTCGTGCAGTATAAAAGTGAGCTCTGTTCAGGATTAAAGACTGATGCGTACTGGCCGGCGCCGTGGCTCAAAAGGCTAATCCTCCGCCTTGCGGCGCCGGCACACCAGGTTCTAGTCCCGGTCGGGGCGCTGGATTCTGTCCCGGTTGCCCCTCTTCCAGGCCAGCTCTCTGCTGTGGCCAGGGAGTGCGGTGGAGGATGGCCCAAGTACTTGGGCCCTGCACCCCATGGGAGACCAGGAGAAGCACCTGGCTCCTGCCTTCGGATCAGTGCAGTGCACCTGCCACAGCGCACCAGCCGGGGCGGCCATTGGAGGGTGAACCAACGGCAAAAGGAAGATCTTTCTCTCTGTCTCTCTCTCACTCGCTCGCTCTCTCTCACTCTCACTCTCACTGTCCACTCTGCCTGTCAAAAAAAAAAAAAGACTGATGCGTTGTATTTAAAATCTCAAACATAATTAAGCAATGGTACCAAATTTTGTAACATGCCAGGCTCAGTGTCCACTGGGTTTCGCTTACCCATAGTTGTGGACCTCACATCTACCATGCAAGGTGACCTCGGTCCGCCTTTCTTCCTCGCCTGCCCTCCGTTCCTGCACAGTTGCATTTACATGTTTCTGGACTGAAGACCAGTTACTGAAAATCTGTATGACAAATAGAGGAACAGAAGCCCTGGGAAACAGTTACCCCTAGCTGGGGAGGTACAGTCCATGTTATGGAAACTCATCTTTGACAAAGTTAAAGAAGTTTAAAGAATGAGATTTACCAACAATTTGACAAATATTCACTTGATTTTTAAGCTGCGGTTGGAGCATAGGTCAGTGAGAACATCTTTGTCATGGTGCCACTGTTTTCTTGAATCACAAAACAAGGGAAAATGTTAATAATATGGAGAGTGTTATCACCAAATGACGAGCTATGAGGCAGCTGAAAGCAGCATCTGCTAATAAGTTCACTAACCAAAAAGATTGTGAAAATCATTGTGTTCAGAGTGCTCTCTAGCCGAGGTTAAGAACTAACCTTGGCTAAGTCAGGCACTGCATGTCTAACTTTACTAGTCTGTGGTAGTGTGTTGATTGTCAGCATTAAATTAGATTCATAGTCTGCCTTGCAAACCTACATTTCCTTTTGAAACAGTTACAGCCCAGGCCGGTGCCGTGGCTCAATAGGCTAATCCTCTGCCTGTGGCGCTGGCACACCAGGTTCTAGTCCCGGTCGGGGCGCCAGATTCTGTCCCGGTTGCCCCTCATTCTGTCCTGGTTGCCCCTCTTCCAGGCCAGCTCTCTGCTGTGGCCTGGGAAGGCAGTGGAGGATGGCCCAAGTACTTGGGCCCTGCACCCCATGGGAGACCAGGAGAAGCTCCTGGCTTCAGATCAGCATAGTGCACTGGCCACGGCGGCCATTGGAGGGTGAACCAACGGCAAAGGAAGACCTTTCTCTCTGACTCTCTCTCTCACTGTCCACTCTGCCTGTCAAAAAAAAAAAAAAAAAAAGAGAGTTACAGCCTGCAGACTCTTGGAACCACTGCCAATCCCTGAATATGGATGATTTCAATCTATCTATGCAGATAATGTGTGTCTATCTACGTTGTTCCCACTGTGGGCCCCAATCTCCCTGACTCGGACTGGGTGCTGAGGAGAGCGAAGGGTGGCAATCCTGGTCACACGCAGTATCCCTCCTCCTGCTCCTCAGCCCCAAGTGAGTTGACCCACGCTTCTGCTGTGCTCTGCACACCCCTCAAGTTGAAGAAAACTCTCAGCCATTTCACTTTGAACTCAGAAGTTGAATTGATTGTTACCAGAACATATGTGTGATTTTGTGTTATATTTGGGGGCACTTTACCAGTCTGGTACTGTAAACCATGGTGAATATTCATTGGACTTCAGTCACTTACGTACTTGTGTTTCCTACTCCGGGTGTCCCAAGTGGCCGAGTTTGTAGTATGTTCATTGTCAAGTTTAACCTTCTGTGTTGTGAGGACCTTTAAGCATTCCTCGTCCTATCAAAGTGACAAAAGCAGAAAGTAATTTTTTTGGAAGCTTTGTGATTACTTGTAACAACTTTGGTTTTTAAAACTAATAAAGTTAGTTTTTATAATCAGTCCATTGAATTGAATTATTTATAGTTATTTTCAATGTATATTACTTGCATTTGGGTAGTAATTTAAAAAAGTAAAATTCCCTTTTTAATAAAAATTTTTATTTTCATCTTGAAAGGCAGAGAAAGAGAAATCATCCATCTGCTGGTTCATTCTCCAAATGCCTACAACATTTGGGACTAGACCAGGTAAAGCCAAGAACCTAGAACTCCATCTGGGTCTCCCACACGGTGGCAGGAACCCAGTTACTGGGCTGTCATCCACTACCTCCTAGGGTGCTTTAGTGGGAAGCCAGATTGTAAGCAGAGCAGACAAGACTCACCCCGGCACTCCAGTGTGGGATGTAGGCATCCTGAGTGCTGGCTTAGCCCACGTGCCACAGCGCCTGTCCCTGATGGCTGTCCCTCTAACAAGAGCCCTGTTGAACCTCTGTGCCAGAGCTGAAGGTGGTGAGTCTCAGCCAGCTCTGTAAAGAACCCACTACAGTTTCAGTTCTTCAACAAGAAAAGTTTTTACCTTGGTGTCCTCCTCAGTTAAAAATGATTTATTCCTGGTAAAGCTGTTTTCTGTCTTGGTTTAAAAAAAAGGGGGGGGGGAACCCTCCAAATCAAAATATCACAACTGGCTGGGTCCCAGTTCTTGTCCCTGACTTGAGAAAGAATGCAAGAGTGAGATGTCGGTAAGGGTTGGCAGAGAAGCAAGATTTGGTTGCATGGGAAGCAAGAGTACTTGACTCGGAGCTGCATCAGGTTCAGGTCCATGCCTTTATAGGGGTGGGGGCTTAATTGAATATTCATAAGGGATGGAGTTTGAGGCCAGACTTGAGTGCTGCCCATTTCCTTGCCTTCATTGGAAATCTCTTGAAGTGTCATGGCATCAGGTGCATGATGGGAGTAGGAGTGTCAGTCATGGTCGTTTCATTACAGTAACCTTACAGTTATCTAGAGGACACCATGGGAACGCAGCCAGCAGCCATGCTGGCTGTTTTTGGCCCATGTCAAGTCTAAGCAGTTTTGCTGAAGCTGCAGTTTTCCGCTGTACAGAGTGGGGTGGCTTGGGTGGTGCAGGCGGGGCTGCAGGGAGGGGCTCCTCCTTGCCAGCTCTCTCCTTAGCTGCATCATATTTTGCCCCTCGGGTTTCATCTCTTAATCTTCAGGGAAGCTGAGACAGGAAGATCCGACTTCTGTAACTTCATGCTGGGTCAAGCGTCGTCCCTGCCTGAGCAGGGAGCAGGAGTCCCCGTGCAGCTGATCTGGAGGCTCCAGCGGAGGAGCTGAGCTTTGTCCCGTCACCGGCAGTGCCCGGAATCCCTGTGTGACCATCATTCCGACATGAAACTCGAAGTCTGGGAGAGAAAAATGTAACAGTGAGATTGAGTGTGCATGGGCCAGCAAGGAGCAAGAGTAAGAACCATGTCAGAAAGGAGAGTGCCTTTTGCTGCTTCCCTTACCGAAATCACGGGCCCACTTGTCCTGATCGTAAATCCTTGCGGTAGCTTTCCCCACATGGGCCCCTTGTGTTGTTCCTGTTAGGTGCAGCACGTTTATTAATACTGCAAATAATTATTACTATTACTACTATTAATAAATAGTATGAATAATTATTAATAAACTGCGGGTTTATTAATACGGCACGTACTCTGGCCTGTTCTGCCGGTAGGCACCCCAGGGCTCATGGTTGTCCATGAGCACTGCAGCTAGGGAATCTGAAGACTCCCATAGGTGTTCTAGGGTTTGGCCAGCCAGGTTGCCCAGGGCAGCGGGCAGATTTCTGAAAGTGACCTCATGGTGTAGAGTAAGATTTCTCTTCTTACTGTGGTGGGAAAGTTTATCAGGAGGGTGTCCTGCCAATGGCAGTTTCCCGAGAAGGAGATTCCCGAGTAAGAATGGGGGGTGTCCGTCTCCTAGCTGAGGCCGCAGCCCAAGAGCCTACCACGGACTACCGGGGCTCTCAGGGTCAGAGGATGACGGGGTTTATTTGTCGTCGGTAGCAGAGGCTTCCTGTGTGGAAACCAAACACCTCACAAAGTATGCAATGGCACACTCATCCCCAAGGAGTGCAACGCCGGAGGTGCAGACAGCAACGCACAAAGTCCCTGGCCGGAAGGTGACAGAAACAGAGACCCCGGGGGCACTGCACGGCCGGGGCTCGAACTCCATACTGCTGCCTGCGTCCCAGGTTCGTCCTACCCCTTCACACTGTGTTCAGCTAAAACTTTTGTTTCTCCAGGAAAAAAAGAAAACGCGTGGCGATTCAGAGCTTTCGAGTGGTCTCGAGTAAAGCTACGGTGCGCCCGCGCCCGCGCCCGCGCCCACGCCCACGCCCACGCCGTTGGACCCCGATCCTCTGCGGGGCCGCCCCCAGGGGGCGCTGTGCCTCCCGCCGCGCTGCCGTCACTTCCGGTGCGGGCGCGCTCTTCTGCGGGGCCGCCCCCAGGGGGCGCTGTGCCTCCCACCGCGCTGCCGTCACTTCCGGTACGGGCGCGCTCTTCTGCGGGGCCGCCCCCAGGGGGCGCTGCGCCTCCCGCCGCGCTGCCGTCACTTCCCGTGCGGGCGCGCTCACGGCCTGTCCACTGCGAGCCAGGAACCCGCGGAGGTAACCTGAGGAGAAAGCGATTTTTAAAATGCGGGATAAAAAGTGTAGGAAGAAAGATTTCAGTGGTTGAGAATGGTAGGCCGGCTGAAACGCCACGCTGAGCGGTGTGTGGAGCGCCGGGCGCCCCGAGAGCGGCGTGGGGTAGTGGCGTAAGCGGGGACACGCCCCTGCCTTCGGGGAGCACCCTGGGGCGGGCTTGGAGGGTGCCAGCACAGCCGAGGGTGCCCGCCTGGAGCCCCCGCTGCGCTCCTGCTCCAGATTCCTGCGGATGCGCGCGCTGCGGGCGACAGGGGGTGGCGGCTCCAGTGCCATGCTCCTGGGGGACCCGGATGGAGCTCCTGCGCCCGGCGTCAGCCTGGCCGGTGCTGGCCTCTGGGGGATACACCGGGATGACAGGACTTTGCCGATCTCTATCTCTGCCGGTTAAGTAAAGTAAGTCTTTCTTAAAGCTTTTATTTATTTATTTGAGAGGCAAAGTTACAGAGTGAGAGAGGCCTTCCGTCCGCTGGTTCACTCCCCAATTGGCCGCAACTGCTGGAGCTGGGCCAAGCTGAAGCCAGGAGCTTAGTCCAGGTCTTCCACACCAAAGCAGGGGCCCAAGCACTTGGGCCATCCTCCACTGCCCTCCCGGGCCACAGCAGAGAGCTGGCCTGGAAGGGGAGCAACCGGGACTAGAACCCGGCGCCCCGACCGGGACTAGAACCCGGGGTGCCGGCGCCGGAGGTGGAGGATTAGCCTAGTGAGCCACGGCACCGGCCAGTAATTTATTTTTGGAAGTGCTGGAATCTAGAAGAAAAGGTGGAAATTCTGCAAAGGTAGGAACGTCCTCAATTCTTGCCAAGCTCCTTCACCTGTTCTGAGACACAGACGATACAGGTGACTTGTCGGTTGCCTGGGAAAGGTTTGTAGCCTGAAATGTCTGTGTCCGTTGGGCCGGGTCAGTCTGCAGTGCACATCCTGGGGCAGGCGCTTGGCACAGCGTTGACTGCCACTCGGGGCGCCCACAGCCCGTGTTGGAGTGCCTGGGCCTGAGCCCCGACTCCGCGCCCCATTGCAGCGTGCTGCTAACGTGCACCCTGGGATGCAGCCGGTGGTGGCTCCCGTGGTCGGGTCTCTGCCACCCACCTGGGAGACTTGGATGGAGTTCCTGGCTCCTGGCTTCAGCCTGGCCCAGCCCTGGCAGTTACAGATACGCGGAGAGTGAATGAGCAGCTGGAAGGTCTCTCCATCTGTCTCTCTGCCTCTGAATGAACAAATACATTGGGGTGGCATTGTGGCACGGTGAATTAGTCTGTCGCTCAGGACATCTGCGTCCCATGTCAGCACCCGTTCAAGGCCTGGATGCTTTGCTCCCTATCCGGCTCCCTGCTAATGCACCCAGGAAGGCAGCAGCAGATGGCCCAACTATGTGGGCCACTGCCACCCACAGCAGAGACCCGGATGGAGTTCCTGGCTCTTGGCTTTGACCTGGCCCAGCCCTAGCTGTTGCAACCATATAGAAAGTGAACCAACAAATGGGAGCTCGCTCTCTTTTTCCACTCTCTGCCACTCTTCAAATAAATAAATCCTTTAAAAATTGTTTTTAAAATGTTTCCTGTGCACATCCCAAGTCTCCAGGAGGATGCAGTGTTCCTGAAGGTAACGACACACACAGCCTTTTGCCCAGGGATGTCGCATTGCGTTGGTGCTCAGTGAACATCTAGAGAAACATCCCACTGAAATATTGATGCTGGTAGGTTTTTACATTAAAATTAACGAATCGCTCTGAGCGATCTTACCTAGATCCAACCTAGATCAGTAAGAACATTCAGCAAAGTGGTGCAACACAGCAGTAACCGAGAACTTGGGAGCGAGCCCTTACACCCTGATCACCACCATGTTACCAGTCAGATCCCTGCACAGTGGCCGTAACACAGCAGTGGGAGTGAACTTTCTTTTTCTTTAAAGATTTATTTATTCATTTGCAAGAGTTACATAAAGAGAGTAGGAGAAGCAGAGAGAGAGAGAGAGGTCTTCCATCCGCTGGTTCCCTCCCCAATTGGCTGCAAGGGCAGGAGCTGCGCCTATCCAGAGCCAGGAGCCAGGAGCTTCCTCTGGGTCTCCCACGTGGGTGCAGGGGCCCAAGTACTTGGGCCATCGTCTGCTGCTTTGCCAGGCCACAGCAGAGAGCTGTATCAGAAGTGGAATAGCAGGACTCAAACCATCGACCATATGGGATACCGGAACTACAGGCGGCAGCTCTACCCATTATGCCACAGCACCTTCCCCAGGAGTGAATTTTCAAACTCTCATGGGGACTCCGATGGTTAGGTACAGGTAGATTCCAGGCTCTTAATGGGATGACTTACTACTTTACGAATGCCAGAGTTTCTCCAAATTCATCTATAAACTCAAGGAAAACTCAACAC